TTTTATTTTTTCATTATTTATTTATTTTTGAGACGGAGTCTCACCCTATTGCCCAGGCTGGAGTGCAGTGGCACGATCTCGGCTTACTGCAACCTCTGCCTCTCAGGTTCAAACAATTTTCCTGCCTCAGCCTCCTGAGTAGCTGGGACCCAGGCCTGCGCCACCACAGCTAACTAATTTTTCTATTTTGTACTAATTTTGTATTTTTAGTAGAGATAGGGTTTCACCATGTTAGCCAGGCTGGCGAGTGATCCACTTGCCTCAGCCTCCCAAAGTGCTGTGATTACAGGTGTGAGCCACTGTGCCCCGCGCCAGGTAACTTTTTAAAAATTTTCTGTAGAGCCGGGTTTCACCATGTTGGCCAGGCTCGTCCTGAACAACTAACCTCAAGTGATCTGCCCGCCTCAGCCTCCCAAAGTGCTGGGATTACGGGTGCGAGCCACCATGCCCAGCCAGCACTTATATATGGAAATGTATTAGTATTTTTCCTTTGTCATTTATGTTAGATCATTATATTTCCTTTTTTTTTTTAAACCAAGTCTCGCTCTGTCGCCCAGGCTGGTGTGCAGTGGCGCAATCTCGGCTCACTGCAAGCTCCACCTCCCGGGTTCACGCCATTCTCCTGCCCCAGCCTCCCAAGTAGCTGGGACTACAGGAACCCTCCACCATGCTCGGCTAATTTTTATTTTTTATTTTTTAGTAGAGATGGGGTTTCACTGTGTTAGCCAGGATGGTCTCGACCTCCTGACTTTGTGATTCGCCCGCCTTGGCCTCCCAAAGTGCTGGGATTACAGGCATGAGCCACTGTGCCCAGCCGATCATTATATTTTCTTTGAAATTGTGTGAATTATCTATGAATTTCACCTCAGGATTATAAAAGAGGTATTATGAAATATTAGTTATGCAAAGGGTAATGGATCTGATAAGAGTTCAGAACCACTGGTTTTTGTTAAGAATCTAGGCTGGGTCTGTGGTTTTACATCTTATTTTTTGCTGCAACTGACAATCAAATGGTGGTGGCATAATTTTTATTTTTAGTTGCAAAACTGAAGGTTACTTCCTTAACTTATAATAACTTCTAAACAAAGCACTTAACTGAACTACTCAAATAGGTCTGCAATATAACAATATCCCACTGGCTATGAGTACTTAGACCACAGCCTATGGCTTCAATAATGGGTTTTCCAGAAACTGCCTCAGGACCATTTGTCCTCAGGAGCTCTTTTCCCAGTTGGCTTCAGAGGCACGAACTGTTCCCAGATGCAGAAGGCTGCAAACTCCCCCTAACAAGACAGCCTCGATGTCCAATGTCAACTTGTGAGATGCAGACTAACCAGTATCTTAGGTGTCCACAACAGGCACATTGAGGTTTGTTATTTCATTACTGGTCTAAGAAAATCTTGTAGTCATACCCCAGTTTAATTACCAGATTTTCTGTCTGTGGATAATGGCAAAGAGCTTCTGAACAAAGGATAACTTAATTTACTCAACATCTACATCTACTGTTTTTTTTTTTTTTTTAAAGAAATGACCTTAATTCAGTACCAAACATATTTTCTTCTAAGCTACCATCTTCCTTTTCCCCTAAAAATATTTTGAGTCTAAAAAGGCCTTTCCAATTTGTACTTTCCCTCCAAGATGTCAAGCTACTTTTTTTTTTTTTTTTTCAAAAGGCATTCCACTCTTGTCGCCCAGGCTGGAGTGCCGTGGTGTGATCTCGGCTCACTGCAACCTCCGCCTCGCAGGTTCAAGCAATTCTCCTGCCTCAGCCTCCTGAGTAGTTGGGATTACAGGCGCCTACCACCAAGCTTGGCTAATTTTTTGTATTTTTAGTAGAGACAGGGTTTCATCAAGTTGACCAGGCTGGTTTTAAATTCCTGACCTCAGGTGATTCACCCACCTCGGCCTCCCAAAGTGCTAGGATTACAGGCATGAGCCACCGTGCCCGGTTGCCAAACTACTTCTTTAAGTTACAACAGGCTACTGGGTGTTAAATTTTTTTTTTTTTTTTTTCCAAGAAAAGAGGCTTTGGTGTTCTGCAAGACTAGGAGGGATGAAGTGTTAGATTCGTGGTTTTCAACCAGGGATGATTTTGTTCCCCAGAGGCCATTTGGCAACAACATCTGGAGACATCTCTGGCTATCCCAGCTGGGGGAAGGGAGCATGTGTGCTACTGGCATTAGTGGGTAGAGGCCAGGGATGCTGCCTAACACCCTACACTGCACAGAACAGCTTCCACAACAAATACTTATCTGGTCTGAGATGTCAATAGTGCCAAACTTGAAAAATCCTGCTTCAGATTCTTAAAATACACCCTTCTACTGAAGAAGAAATCACCAAATCCTCCCAGCTGGGTGGAGAATCCCGCTACAAAGTACTGGTGCAGCTTTGCTTGCCAGAGGCCTAATAGCTGGGTGCAATTTCTTTCCAGCAACTGTTCTCCTGCCTTGGAAGGGTGGGCTCTACCCTGGCAAAACTGAAATTTGAGAATGGTTCTCCAGGTCACATAGACTTTAAACACCTTTCTCATTAAGAAACAAAAGAAAGAAAAAGTTTCTTCTGATCACAAAACAAAACCCTCAGTGTAAAAAAAGGCATACATTACAAAAATAGCATAAAAAGTAAAGGCCATTGGCCAGGCACGGTGGCTCACACCTGTAATCCCAGCACTTTGGGAGGCTGAGGCGGGCGGATCACGAGGTCAGGAGATCGAGGCTCTCCTGGCTAACACAGTGAAACCCCGTCTCTGCTAAAAATACAAAAAATTAGCCGGCGTGGTGGTGGGCGCCTGTAGTCCCAGCTACTCGGGAGGCTGAGACAGGAGAATGGCATGAACCCGGGAGGCGGAGCTTGCAGTGAGCCAAGATTGCGCCGTTGCACTCCAGCCTGGGCGATGAGCAAGACTCCATCTCAAAAAAAAAATAAATAAATAAAAATTAAAGGCCACAATCCCACTACCTAGAGATGGTTGCTAACAGTTCAATGTATATTCATTTCCTAGCCATGCATTATCTATCAACAAAAAAGGGGGCCAGGGTACTATAGTTTGCCACTGACTTTTTCTCCTTGCTGGATGGTATTCCACTGCACGGATGACCATCTTATTCAATCAAGTCCTTATTCATAGATATGTGGGTTACTTCCAGTATTTTGCTGTACAAAGAATGTGACACTGAAAACATTCTACGCTGTGCACTTAAGACCTTTTTTTTTTTTGAGACAGGGTCTCACTATGTCACCCAGGTTGGAGTGCAGTGGCACAACTATGGCTTACTGCAGCCTTGAACTCCTGGGCTCAAATCCTCCCACCTCAGCCTCCCAAGCAGCTGGGACTAACAATGCATGCGCCACCACACCTGGTAATCAAAACAAAATTTTTGTAGAGTCAGAGTCCCCAGCTATGTTGCTCAGGCTAAAGGCTTCTGAGAAGTGTAAATGCTAAGTTCAAAGGGCATGTACATTATGAAAACATATCTGCATTATAAATAAAAGGGGGTCTTTATTATTTGCATATTCATTAACCAAGTCCTTGCAGCTACCAAATTGTATACAGAAGTGAAAGTCATCCCCATGTGAAAACATTCACTAACGAGCTATTTATAAAAAGTTAGTCTCTCTTTGCTTCCTAAGTACCTGAAGCCAAAGTATTTATCCTGCCCACTGTATTCTGGTCTTCTGTTAGTCTCTATGGTTATATTGTAAGTATATGACAAATGACACAAATAGAATGCAACTTAATTGCAATAATCACAAATCTTGCAAATGGTGGTGGATTTGATGAATAATGCTAGAAAACTGCTCAAACCTTAAGCAAAAGCCCTAAAAAGTGTGGGTGACAGACTCAGACCAGTTAACAATAAAAGGAAAGTGGAGGAGGTGATCACTGATACTTATAAAAAAGAATGTGAATATCAAAATATTAAGAGACTCTGAAAACTGATGAAACTATCAAATATTTTTGCAAAACTTCCTTCTATGATCATGTTGCAAAAACCAAATAAGATTATTGTAAGATGCAAAAATCAGTTTCACTTCAAAAACAACTTAGTTTCCTTCTTTGTCAGAATTAATATATCTTTAAAATTATGAACATGCTTTCATCATTATGTTCCATTTTCATGATTAAAGTTCCATTCAGGCTTCCCCTACCCCCAGTGTCCACCACATTCTATGAAATTTTGGTCCCCATTTTAAGTGGTTTCACTTCAGGGGAGCTTTTTCTGGTATCAACTCTCCTTGGGCTAAGCAGGCCCTCTTCTCAGAAGCCTAGGAGGAAGGCTGCTGTCATGTCTGGTATGTGAATGCAAAATACTCCCTACAACTGTCTGATTCTTACAGGAGCTAAAGGACCCCATGTAATAACCAGGGCCCTTTTCTCTCACCTCCTTACGAAGTCACTGGGGATGGAAAGGAGACTATGCTTGGTCTGCCTTCTATCACTGCCTTCATTCCCCGCTGCCAGCCAGGGCCCAGACAAAAACCCAGCTCTCAATATCCTCACAGGCTGAGCCCCACGGTCCACCCTGGGACACCTGCTGGCTGTCATTCCAAGGACACCAAGAAAGGAAGCACATCAGCAAAGTCCCTGAGAAATCAGCTCTGAGACCCTGTGGCTCTTTCATCCCGTGATGCAATTCAGTCATTCTGAAGAGTATTTTCAAGGACCGTAGCCAGCTAAGAAAAACAGTCATAAAATACATTCGCCTAAAAGCTTACAAACAATGTACATATATATATACACAAACCCAACCTTCTCTCTGGCAGTTTTATAATAAAAATATATGGCTTATAGTCTCAAATGTTAAAGATGAAGAAAACTTGAGCTTCACTGTATAGATGAGAAAACTGTAGCCCTGGGCCAAGGGTCAGCAGACTTCTCTAAAGGGCCAGATGGTAAGTGGTTGACATTTTGGAGGTCGTATAGTTTCTGCTGCAACTATTTGCCTCTGTCACTGTAGCACAAAAGCAGCCACAGACAATACATAAACAGATGAACATGGTTCTGTTCTCATAAAACTTTATTTATGGATACTGGAATTTAAGTTTTACATTACTTTTTACCTGCTACAAAAACTACTACTTCTTTTTGTTTTTCTTTCCCAACCATTTAAAAATGTAAAAGCCATTCTTAGCAGACTACACCAAACGAGTGGTGGGCCAGATTTGACCTTCAGGCCACAGTCTGCTGAGCCCTGTCGTTTCGGCCACTCTTACCTTCGCGTGTAGATAAGACAGGCCCCAGTGCTTAATACCTTGTCATTTGCTCCTTGCTTTACCCATCCACAGCAAAGACCTGGATACTCTTCACCAAAAAATGTACAACTAAGGAGCTTTATCAACATTTTCTAAATGTTAGGAGTAATATTAAGATCTGTCAGACAAGTATGCCAGGTCACAGTTTAAAGGATATTGATATAATGCCATATTGTGCATTAAATAAAAACAAGAGGAAAATATAATAAACTTGAGAAACTCACTGAATTTGAAAAATAGGCTTTATTTTAACCAGTGGTATTGTCTGACATCCTATATGGCATAACTGATTACAGCCAAGTTCATGGATACAAATAAAATAGCAATTTCCCTCATTCTCTCTTTTGTTTTCTGTTCAGAGAAATCAGGAGATGGGAGCATTATGCTCAGAAACCGAAGAGCTCTTCCGAGAGCTCCAGCTTAAGAGTCCAGGCTTCCGGAGCATGCAGCCTCCTAACACGTATGTGGTCACATGTGCAAAGACCTTTATTACAAAATATTCAGAGCAGTATTTCTGTAGGAAATCACACTAGCATTTACAACCAAAACATGGCTGACAAAATTCATCTTGCTGTGGATGGTGAGGATTTGAACTGCAATAAAGGAGATGAGGCCTTTACGTTCACTCTCCTTGAAAGGGGGAGAGTCCCGGCTGAGAGGGAATCAACATCAGTCTGTCTCCTTCCTTCTTGCTCCAGTTGACTCGGGGGTCCACCCGGTCCCTCTGGAGTACGTTTATCACTGCACTGATTGAGAAATGGAAACACCTTGGCCCAAATACAAGATTCTGTCACACAGCCAACACTGGAAGTGACTTTATACTTTCTTATTACACAAAAGGCTTAAATATACGAGTCCTCATGTAGAACAAAATGCCTGAAATTCAGCAAATTATGAAAACAACTCTTCTCCACCCCTGAGGATATTTTATCTTTATAAAGTTGAAAATACAAAATATTAAAATAATTTGCCCTTTCTCCCCATCAAAAGGAATCACATTTTCAAAGGATTCCTGCAATATACAAAATTCTGAAACAAAATTTATTTCTCCCCAAACCAAGAAGTCAATGATAAGCTGCCAAGAAGACCCTTTTCCATAGAGGAGTGGAAAAGACACCTTGTTACTTTTTTATTTTAAAGTAATCATATTTAGAGGAAGATAGCAGTTTTCTGGCCTTATGGGCTTTAATTTTTTACTTTGATTTTCAGCATTTCTTAGCATTAGTTATTGGGAGTGAAGAGAATAACTTGTTTCTGAAGTTTGGGATATTCCTGGGAAAAGCCCTGATCTTTCCCATGATAACTCCTCAAAAATAGTTGGTTGAAAACAGATGGCATGAATGAAAATGCTGTACATCCATCTGTTCCTCTTTTCATGATTTTCACATCAAAAGCACCTGAAGTATCAATTGTGTTCAACACAGAATAGCACTAGGGGCTGAAGAGAGGATGATGTCACTTGCCATAATATCAGCTGAGGTGACATGGGATCTAAACTACCCAAGAAGTCTTCACTGGCAAACCTGCCTGACACCAGGGCCTCCTGAAGAGAGCAGGACAAGCAGCTGTGCATGCTCAAATAGCAAGACATGCAAAACACATCCTCACTCTGCTAGAAATAGAGTACACAGGAAGTACATGACATCAAGAACCTGCTTCTGACTACTGGGGCAGATATTCAAGAAACCTCTGCACCAAAGGTGAAGGGTAAGCAGAGAAATGGCAACACCTGGGGGTGAGGGAGAAAGAGAGACGCACATATACGCATGCACTCACATGCACACATGACCGCCTCTGAAGGCTACCTGGTTACTCCGGGCCCACAAGCAGCCGTCCAACAACCCTCTCAACTTGCCCAGCTCAGAACTTCAGCAGCTGCAGTCTTTTAACTATCTACACTTTCTTCTCTCCTTTTAAGGCACAAACATATTTACAGTTTCAAATACACCTGTCAAGATCTGAGAACCATACGAAGCAAGTTAATCACAGGCTAGTGCACAGAAGCCGGTTGGTCCTTTTTGGCTGTACGCATCACTGAGGGACAGCGTTGGGTCTGAAGCAACCAGAAGGTGTGGGCCTTCTCTTGTGCCACTGTGGGATGTTGTCAAGTCTATGCCCCACCGTCAAGGTGGGGGTCACAGGAGAAGCCAAAGTGGCAAAAGCATGACCAGGATTGGGGACAATTCATATTTTTTTACTTTGCATTGAACATATTCCTAAAAAGACAGCAGCTTGCCTGCCTGAGCCAACTCTCAGAAAGAAGAGCAAGGTGGAGGCTGCCCTGAAGCATCCACAACCTCATGTAAAGTTACCACAACCTCATGTAAAGTCACTGTGATCATAGTTTGTTCATATTGTCTTACCTTCCCACAAAGACAGACACACACATGCACACACACTAACACGCGCACACACACCCCCTTCCACCATGGAGGAAATCTCTGCAACAAGAGGCACTTGAATGATATTTGGAGAGTTCCCGTGAAAAGGCCTTCCCCTCACAGTGAAGTGGGATCGACAGAACAGAAACCAGGTGCTCAGGACTCCATCTCTTCTTGGTCGAGGGGCGGTGGCACAAAGCTGACGACTTCATCATAGGTCAGGCCTAGACATCGGGAAGGAAAAGTAAGACGTGAGAGTTTAGGCTGTTCTCTTTGCTGGCGAGCACTCTGACTTCACTCAAGATCCTTCCTCCCTGTCCAGGTAGTGGTATGATGGGCTACCTCACAGCTGGTATGTAATATTCTAATGGAGCACGTTATCACACAGAAGTTCGAGGGACATAGAAAAGAACCTTTTTTTTTCCTCATGTTTTTCATTGCTGAATGCCTCTTAAGTTCTCTACGGAGGTGCTCAAGAATGAAAGAGCACTCTCACAAGCTACGGCAACAGATGGTCTTGGCTCTTTGGATTTAACTGGAGTTCTGAACTTGTGTTTTATGGAAAGAATATGGGACTGGACACAGGATACACGGGTTCCATTCCTGGCTATGTCCCTAACTAGTTCTAAGTTAACTGATAAGACATAAATTCTCTTTGCCCCAGTTCTACTAACTGTAAAACTGTAAAAATATCCTATTCTTTACTTAGCTCAGAGAGATGTTGTAAATGCAATAACTCTGAAAACCTCAAATCTCCATGCAAAGCTCCTGTATGTGAGGGGCTGTGCATAAAATCAGACCAGATGTTAAGTATCTCAAAGGTCCAGAGAGTATCACTGTCTACAACACTTTCCACCAGAGAACATATTCATTCTGCATTACAGACCTCAACTACAAGCTTTAGCAAGTTGGTTATGACCATTCAGTTTTTATTTTTCCCACCGCTTTCGGTTAGTGGTACAAGATGTTAATCCTACCCTTAGGACTTACTTTTCCACTCATCTATAAGGAGGTCCCTGCTTTCAAAGGACTGATCATAAGGATCGGCCACTGGTTCATCATCAGGATCGTGGTACTGAGCAAAGTAGGCATGTGCAAGGGCTTGGGCTGCTGTAATTCTCTTATCTGAGTCCAATACAAGCATCTTCTCCAGCAAGTCGACAGCTATCAGTACCATAGACAGGAAGGAAAATAGTTTTTAATATGTTACAAAAAAGTATGCCTTATTAAGCAAACATAGTTTTGACCCTTCATATCCAAACAAGGAATTCTCCTCCAAAAATACCTACTCTAGGATATACTGGCCCTTTTCTCCTTTACGTGTGTGTGTGTATCTGTATTTTGTATGTTTAAAATGTTTTATTTTATTTTTGATTCGGGGGTACGCGTGCACATTTGTCACATGGGTCTCACGGATGGGGACTGGGCTTCCAGTGTGCCCAATAACCAAATAGTGAACATTGTGCCCAACAGGTTATTTCTCAACCCTCACCCTCCTCCTGTATTTTGTATTTTTAAAGAACATGTTACTAAAGAAGAATTTTTTTAAATGACTAGGATTGTGTTTGAACAGGCTTTTGTGGAACGTCAATGTCAAACTGCTACCAGTGTAGTCAAACTGTATAAAAACAAAAGCCTACAGCTACAGTAATCTAGAATAGGTAGGCAGGACTGTTTTTTGTGTGTTTGTTGTTGTTGTTTTTTGTCCCCCTTCGCTGTTTATTTACTAACATAAGACAAATAAATATTCATCAAACAGATCTTCAAACAGTGAATAAACTGGGGGTTTTACATGGTGATGGGGGTGAGACATGGTATTAAAATCAAAGGGAATTTTATTTTAAAAAATTTCACTATGAAAAATTTCAAATATACAGAAACAGAAAAGTAAAAACAAGGATAAAGTGAACACTCACATGCCCAGCATACAGATTCAACAATTAACATTTTTGTATTTATTTATATGTTTTTCTGAACTGTTTTAAAATAAAATTATAGACATGATACTTTACCCTCCCCAAATATTTCAACACAAAGACATCTTCCTATATAATCATAATACTGTTATCATCTCTGACAAATAACTTCTAAATATCATCTAAAATCCAGTTCATGTTAAAATTTCTCCAATTATTCCAACGTTGTCTTTTAGAACTAGTTTGTTCAAACCAGGATTCAATTAGGGGCCATGCACTGCAACTAACTGGATTTCTTTAGTCTCCCTTAGTCTAGAATAATCTCCTTACTTCTAAGCCCTGTTCCTTCCCGATTCTGATCTGAAGAGACCCTCTGGTTGTCCTGAGAATGACTGTTTCTCGGGATGTGTCTGATTTTGCTTCTTTTGCTGTCATGTGTCTATACCCTGCTTTCCACTATCCCCTGTACTTCCCAAAAACCAGAAGTTAGGTAAGAATCAGGTCAAACATTTTCAGCAAAAATACAGGTGATGCCATGCATGTGATAATGCATTAAGGCCATCTGTCCCACTACTAATGAACTAAAATTGGTCACTGGGTTAAGATGTTTCCCCTTTGACCAAAGCAAGTAATCTGTGGGATATTTTGGTACCAAATAAATATCCGTTCCTTTCACTTATGGCTTTTTGCATTCACTGGGTTTCCTTTCCAAAAGCAATTATTTCTTTCATAAGGGGTTACAAAATGGTGATTTGTCTAACTCTGTATTTCAAATGAGTATTTTTGTGTTTCAGCATGGCAGCACTTGGGAGGATAAATACTGCCATATAACCAGTTATCACTGTGGTGAAATAGGCTTTTGAGACTTTGCAAATTACTTCTTAAATGTGGAGCGGGTGGGGGTAAATAGTGAAGAAGACAGCTTTCTATGGAGATCGACTGCTGTGTATACTGGAGGCTGTAAAACACCCCTGTCCTACAGCTTGAATTCCAGAGTAATCCACTGGAGAAATATGGGCTTCAGGGGGATACAGAAACAAAGTGAATATTCATGTGTCAATTCAAGTTCATTAGTTTACACTTTACAGTACAGTACTAGGTGAATGCCTGGATTATATATACATATATTCTTCTGATGGTCTTCTCTTCTTAGAAAAAGAAACCTTATCAGCTGTTGATTTTCTAATTGAACACAGATTATATGACAAGTCTCTATTACCCCTAGGGTAAAAACTACCATGTTCTTATAACCAATAAGGTCAGGGGCAAGAAAAAGATTCCTCAAAGATATTATTAGCTGGGCATGGTGTTATGCGCCTGTAGTCTCAGCTACTTGGGATAGGGAAGAGGAAGGATCACTTAAATGCAAGAGCTTGAGGTTTTAGTGAACCATGACTGTGCCACTGTACTCCAACCTGGGTGACAGAGTGAGATGCTATTTCTTAAAAAAAAAAATCTTGACAGATAAATATATACACTAACATCAAGGGGTAATTTAAGTTTTAATTCATGTTTTGGGAATAGCAGTGAAACAAAGTCAGTGGCTGACGAAACAGAGCTGTTAATATTTATATTGCTGGCATGTTCCTGCTCAGTTAATATGCTGGGCATGAGCTTGTGAGAGTAACACTGTACTCCATCTGCCCGGCAAGGGGAACCTCATTATATGACATCACTGTTTGGCAATGGGCTGTAAGGCACGTTTAAATGCTGAGAAGTACAGTGCTGAGCACCAGATGGACCAAAGCCTCCTTTCAACTCATTAGCAAAGTGGTATCTAGTTCTTTTGGCGGTTTCAACGTCATGATTTCAAAGAATGGGAAGACCTATCAGGAGCTATGTGACCTAAATAAGCTGCTGGAACACAAATATCTCCCCTCTCCCACTAAAACATGAATTAACAAATCTTTCTGAGTCCGTTAAGAGGGTGTCAGTGAGTACTGCCCTGTTTAAAACTTAGGGCTTAGGGCTGTTCTGGACAAATTCAGAACAGAATGACAGACAAGAAAGAACACAACGGGCCGGGTGCAGTGGCTCATGCCTGTAATCCCAGCACTTTGGGAGGCCGAGGCAGGCAGATCACGAGGTCAGGAGATTGAGACCATCCTGGCTAACACGGTGAAACCCAGTCTCTACTAAAGATACAAAAAATTAGCCAGGCGTGGTTGCACACGCTTGCTGTCGCAGCTACTTGGGAGGCTGAGACAGAAGAATCACTTGAATCCAGGAGGCGGAGCTTGTAATGAGCCAAGATCGTGCCACTGCACTACAGCCTGGGCGACAGAGCGAGACTCCGTCTCAAAAAAAAAAAAAAAAAGAAAGAACACAACATCTTTTCCCAACATCCTGTAGTACTTAAGGCTCAAAGAGAGCTTCTCAGCTCAAATAAATCATACAAAGTCAATTAGAGCATGCCAGGGCAGATGCAAACCTAAACCAATCTCAGTAGAATCGTACCTACCCCTGATGAGACTGTGGATTCATCCTTGGGCAGGAGAGCAACCCAGCTGAGATATGACATACTCTCCGTCTCCAAGGCTGACACGAACTCATCCACAACTGCCCAATACTTCAAAGAGCATGAGCATCTCTGCTATTGTAAGAATTATCACTGCGACACTAAAATTCCTCTCCATAACCACTATGGATGAAGTACTTAAAAAGGTAAAATCACCTAGCCTTCACCCCAGCTTCTAAATAAGTCAGCATGGCTGTCGGCCCTCAAAAAGATAAAACTAAACCTGAAGCATAGCTGCCAAGACCCTTAAGAAGACACATGACCCACACAGATGCAAAGAAATGCAGTGAGATTTTAAAACATACCACGCAATACAATCTTAAGAAAAGTGAGAAGGTGGATTATACTCGTTATCATAGCATAGCTCCCTTCCCTATTGTAGGGAGGTCCTGGTCTGATCTTTCTGTGTCTACCATTAAACAGCACTGTCCACTGCCCTCTTCTAGAGTCAGGGAATGAGGCTCAGGCAAAGCAGCTTTCAGGGACCATCTGAAGCACACATCAGTCCTCCCCTTCAAAGAATATAGTCAGCCAGGCATGGTGGCTCACATCTGAATCCCAGCACTTTTGGAAGTTGAGGTGGGCAGACTGCATGAGCCCAGGAGACAAAGATTAGTAGATGGTGAGACCCTGTCTCTACAAATAATTCTTTAAAAAATTAGCCAGGCATGGGGATGCATGCCTGTAGTCCTAGCTATGTGGGAGGCTGAGGCAGGAGGATCACTGGAGCCCAGGAGTTTAAGCCTGCAGTGAGCCATGACTGTGCCACTGTACTCTAGCCTGGGTAACAGACTGAGACCCTGACACTACCAAAAAAAATAACAACAATAATAATAATAATAATAATAAAGCAATTGCATTTTTAGCCAAGGCAACACATATCTTCAACTGCCACCATCACTTCCCTCTGCCAAGGATCTTGAAGGCATATGAAGCCATTTCTTTAAGTTTAGGTAGCAAATAAGCTCCACAAAGAGGAGAGGATAGTTACACCTCTAAGGGGCAGAGAAAGAATAAGGGAGGGGAAAAGTTCATGTGTGTGGAAGATGACAGGATCTGTAGCAACGGCAGCTACTGACAGAGCAGAGCACCCTGCAGGGAGTTCCTGGGTGGGTCCTCTAAACACCCACCTGTACTTCAGTGGTTTTTGTCCTCCACTCAGGGACACCATGAATCCACAGCAGTTGTGAACAAGCTATAGCTTTCTTCTGTATCTGCTTCTTCCTGCCTCTCCAATCCTTTATCTCAACATTCCTATTACTTTCTCTCCTTTCTCCACTGTACCTGCCCATTCCCCCGACCCCAAGGTCTGTGATCATTTAAACATATAAGCATCTCATGTAATTAAAAAAAAATCTGACAACACAAATAGATAATAAAAGCCATATTTATCACCTTCCAAGATTCAACTAATGGTACGTTATTTGGTCAAAAGGAGAAACTCTTCTTCATATCCCCAATTTATATCATAACCAATTCAATATCCATGAGGTGAGGATATTGTCAACTTACCCAGGGGATTGGCACCAATAAATACATTCGCAAAGTTCATCTTCGGCATCTGCGTCAAAGACTGAATATAGTTTCTTGCCTGAAAAAACAAGGGTTTTCAGAATTACTTTGTTCAATAATGTTACTTCTCTCAAAGAAAGAACCTTGGTCCTGCTAAGGAACGAGTGTTAACTGACAAAGTCCACTAACTCCAATGTTTATAACTGTCTTTGATAAAACTTCTCCCTTACTGCTATCCTAACTTCCTAGTTATGATCATCACCTTCTTTATTCCTGCTATCTCTCACAGTTGCATTTCAAGTGAACGAGAATACTCATCAATCAAATTCTCTTTCATCAGCTTTCTGATCACAGGATGAGAAGTTTAAAAACTGAGGCCGAGATATGTAAGAAGTAGCCCTTTCTGAGACAGCCTTCTCAAAAAGCTAAAATTGTTAGAAGGGTTGGTATTCCCAAAGTAAGTCTTGGACCAGCAGTCTTTTGATAGTGCTGACTTCAGTAGGTGCTCTTAGCACATCAAAGGACATCAATATTAAACCTTGCTAACAAAGTAACACTGGTAACAAAAAAGTTAATATAAACTTAATATAACAGTCCTACCTCACAGGGTTGGAGTGAAGATTAGAGATAACAAACCTAGTACTTTCTTAACACAGTACTTGGTTCCAAGTGAGAGTTCAAGAAACATTATCTGCTATCCCACTATCACCTTCAGAGAAAAGCAAAGTCTGCTGTCTATCTTAACCACCTTTTTAAAATTTCTGTTTTAATACAGTCCAACAGTAAAGGTATGTATGTATATTTATGTTTACACATACACACACAAGGTTGTAAAAAGTTCTGGTTGCCCAGACACGGTGACTCACGCCTGTAATCCCAGCACTTTGGGAGGCCAAGGAGGGCAGATCACTTGAGCCCAGGACTTTGAGACCAGCCTGGGTAACATGGTGAAAACTTGTCTCTAAAAACACAAAAAATTAGCCAGGCATGGTGATGCATGCCTGTGGTCCCAGCTACTTGGGAGGCTGAGGTAAGAGGATCACTTGAGCAGGGAGATGGAGCCCAGGAAGCTTGAGCACAGGAGGTGGAGGTTCCAGTGAGCTAAGATTGTGCCACTGCACTCCAGCTGGGGTGACAGAGTGAGATCCTATCTTAAAACAAAACAAAAACAAAAACAAAATCTGGTTGCTTGGGCAAGTTCACCTTATTTATTAAAAAAATTTTTTTAGAGACACAGTCTCTGTTCTGTTGCCTACGCTGGAGATCACTGGCACAATCACAGCTCACTATAGCCTCAAACTTCTGACTCCAGCAACCCTCCTGCCTCAGCTTCCCAAGTAGCTGAGACTGCAGGCGTGTGCTATCATGCCGTAATTTTTAAATTTTTTTGTAGACCTGCAGTATTGCTGTGTTGCCCAGGATGGTCTCAAACTCCTGGGCTCAACTGATCCTACCATCTCAGCTTCCAAAGTGCTGAGAATTGCAGATGCACGCCACCACGCCCAGCCTTCACCTTCTTAATGATTGCATGTGGAGTCAGGAGGAAAGGTCTGCTTTGAAAAGCAACTGAGAATCTTTCTGATTTGAAAAGAAAGTTGTAGGAATTGAATATATAAATGGCTGTAATCCCTTTCTACTTGAACATGTAAATAAAAAGATGAAGGGAAAACAGGTAAGAGACAATTATCTCATTCAGAGAACAGTCATCCCTTTAATAAAGATAAATCAACAGATGACCTGAATATAGCCGAAGTAGAAACAAAGTTGCTGGGAGGGGCTCTCTGTGATGCCAACCCGGTTCCCTAAAATATTAAGGGTATCTTAGAAAGAAAGAAGTGCCCCAATGACCTCTGATAATAAAACAAGAGTTAGACTAAGTAGTTAAGAATAAAGAAGGTACCTAACTGTACCAAAGTGTTTGTATTTATTTTATATTATTTGTGTATTTTCTTTTAAATATAGTATGTATTAGTACTGGATATTTCAGTTTTGTTTTGTTTTGTTTTTAAATAAAGAATTCTCTTTTGGTCATTAAAAAAGTGGATGAATTAGAAAGCATGCTAATGGACTTCAGTTAACTACCCTTCTGATAAAGGTCATGATAGTAGCACACCCTAGCTACAGGCATAGCACCTAGAAAGAAACCGCCTCACGAGCACTAAATTCACAAAACCAAATATAAAAATAACAATTTTCCATCCCCAATCTCACAAGACTGGATGACATTTTATCCCAAAAGTCAACATCCTGCAATAGCACATAGGCAGGCCTCCAGGCACATGCAAGCATCCAGTGATGTTAAAAACTGTTGGTTATACAGTGGCAATAAAATGAGAACGTGGCTTCTCAGTGCGACATCCCTGTACAGTCTCTTTGTTCTCACCTCATGGCTTGGCATCCTGTTAATGAGATAAGCGGGGGGTGTTCCCGTCAGACGCATAATCTGCTGAAGCTGGTTAATATCTTAGATGCCTAGTCAAGGGCATTGTTAAACATACAGTGCAAAAAATAATTTTCAACTCAAGTTTTTAAAAAGGTCAAAAAGCCACCCCTAAACAAACAAAAAAACCTACCCCCCATTCACCCTACCCGAGGACCCAAGGCTGCATGTTAAAGCTTCTGTGAATGACATGAGTCGCTTCTGTGAATGACATGAGTAACTAGGCATGTAGTCAGTGACTGGCCATGCAGATAAGAAAAATTACTTTTCTTTGGTTTTAGCATCATCTTTACTGTTAAATATTTTAGGTTCCCTGGAAACAGACTGCCCCTTGATCCAGGATGCCAGCCAGAGAACTGTTTTCAAGTACTGACGGCCAAAACCTGTTTGTGGGAGAAATATAGATGATTCTAAAATTTTTGACTCAAACTTTGAACAAAATAAAATATCCAACATATCCATTCAAGAAAGAGACTAAACTTTTGCAGCACGGGTTCTCCAAGTCACCATCCCTCCGAATTAAGATACACGTAGGCATCTGGGTTAATAAGCAATGCCACATTTCAAAGATATTATTTAGTGGTACATTTAAAATACTTGCCACAAACACAAAATGGTAAATGAAGAAAGAGGAGACGGGCAGAAGGTTAGAGGCTAATGGCAAAGGCAAAACAGAAGTCACAGGCTGCTGACAGTGTTAAAGCATGCCACATGATTTCCTCCACAAGTCTCTTCAACAAGCGAACAGACTAACCTCACTTAACAAACAGGTGGAGGGAAGTCTGCAAAATACTCTGCAAGTATCTGACAAGGGCAGAACTATGAGATTTTCTATATGTATAGGCACATATGTAAGCTGTACCACAACTTCTCTCTTTTAACTGTTCTATCAATGTTAATACAACTTGCCCTCTTCTAAAATGTAAGAACTGTTTATCATGTTCCTACCAAGAGCAGAAGTGAGGAGATTTTAAAAATCTTCAATGTAATTCAATAAACCCCTTTTGTAGTCCTTTTCTTGTTAACTACTAATTCCCTCATTCAGGTGAAGCATCATCTTCAATAAGCACCATGGCCAAGCAATTTTACTTCTTTGTGGCTTTCCCAAATAATTTTTCTACTTTAGCTCGTCCTCTGAACTGAACTCCCTAGTGGTCAGATGACTTAGCAGTAATCTGTTTAAGGCTGGCCACAGGGAGAGAGCTAGAGCCATGTGCTCCACGCTGCCTTTCACGCTCCCTAAACCCAAAGACAGAGGCCAGTAAATTCCAAAAGAGGTAGTAATTACACTTTGATTTGTGGTCCTTTTAAGAAACGTACCAGATCCATACCAGATGATGGAATTCTTTGTTTTGTTAGGAGTTTAGGAAACAGAATTTAGAGTTACCTTTAACAAATCACATAACAAATGACACTTTTCATGCCAAGGGAAGTAACAAAAAGGGGCCACAAAATAAACCAGCAATAGCAATATACCAGTTGGGTCTTAAAATGTAAAAATCCTCCACTTCTCCTTCCTTTCTGTGAACAATACCTGGCCTGCGCATTTTCTGTCTTTGTCTCCTTTAGTCAAAGAGGTTATTTTTTATATCCCCTTTCTGTCAAGAAGTTAGAAAGATTCTATTTCTGGAGGAAAATATGAATGAGTCAGGTCTTTGCTTTTTTATCTAATTTAATTAATTAGTTTATTTATTTTTAAAGACAAGGTCTTGCTCTGTCACCCAGGCTGGAGTGCAGTGCACGATCACCACTTCCTGCAGCCTCAAACTCCTGGCCTCAAGTGATCCTCCTGCCTCAGTCTCCCAAAGTGCTGTGAGGACAAATGTGAGCCACTGTGCCCAGTCTGCTTTTGCTTTCTTAATATGATTTTCTTGTTCTTTCACTGATTATTACAAAAACTGGGACATTAATCAAATGAATTCTCTTTCCTTGGCCTCCATCACAACCCATTTATACCTTTTCCTATGGCTCATCCTAATAGGTTCTCAATCCATTACTGCATTCTCTTACTCAGCATTCAATTTCTTCATAATTATTGGCATCGCTACTTCACTACTTTTCAGGAGAATGAAAATAGCTGTTGGCTTTCTATTTTCTGCATTCCTTCACTAATGTCTTTTTTCTTTAATTTTTAAAATTTTAAAAATCTCTGAACAATTTTACTCACCTGGCCTTATTTATCCATTATGTTACCACAAGATAAACAGGTACTTGGGCCGTGTCGTGAACACGAAATTAATCTTGTCTACCCCTTAGGATGTTTAAACTACTTTTATCCACTTGCCCCAATTATGTAGGAAAAAACAAAAAAAACTTTCTTATTCTTACACTCAATATAATATTATTTGAGTCAAGTTCTGTATTCTGGTACTCAATTTCAGTAGAGCTGTTGAAATATATAATGTGCCTCATTTCACAGAGGGACCTCCACTATTAGGCTGTGCACCTAGTGTTTCTTTCTTAAAAATAAGTGATGGATTAATGAGAGATAAATACTATTGACTATTTTACCTAGACTTTGGTTTGAATTCCTTGCGACTAATAGCACATATCTATAGGGCAGATGGCTGGGATGGAAGAGAAGACTAAGAAAGGGCTGCTAAGAGTCACTCTCAGGAAAGAAATGAATTTGCTTGGTCTCATTAGCACTATTTATTAATTGAGCTCCTTCCCAGTCCTCCCTCTGCCCTTAGGGCCTCTTACTGTAAGACAGTGTTTCTAAGAAAAAACATAAAAAAAAAAAAGTACTGCCCTTTCTAAGCATCATCTGATATCTTTGATTCACTCTAATCCAGCTTCTATATATCATAAAGGGGGAAAAAATACCTCTTTAGGTTGACATTGTGGTAACACTGACAACGACTTCCAAAATAGTATGTAATCACATGCGATTATAGTTTGGATCATGTTATCCAGCATCTGGGATCTATACTCAGCTCTGCCACGTGACTCAGTGCATGACGTGGAAAAGTCACTGCCTTTCTGGGCCTTTGCTTCTTTATCTTAAATAAGTAAATGAAACAAAATTCAGAGTGGAGGTTCAGAAATACACTGGGCTTTGGCATCCTTTCAAGAAATGTACCGGATACATACCAGATGACGGTATTCTTTATTTTGTCAGGAAGGTGAATGAACAGTTCCAACTCACCTACTTATGCCTGCCTCAAGCTACCCAGCAGTCTTCCCAACTAGGCAAAGGGCCCCTTCAGTCATAAATGTTGGGAGGAGAATCCAGGAAGGCATAACTGGAGCTTGGCTCCGTAGCTCATTTTTTCTTTTGTTCCACTGCCTGGCAGCAGATTGAGGGAAAAAGGAAAAAAAACTGGGCTTTCATGGCTTCTCTCATGCCTCTGGCCCAAGAAAATGACCAAGAGCAGGAAATCAAGCAAAAGTAAGCCAGAGTCACATTCCCATGGCTTCTGTCTAAGTCCCTGCTTAGAAGCAAGAAAGCACTAGCTCCAAACTCTGTCTCGGGTTATTTAACTTATAATTACAAGGCAATAGGAGGAAAATTTATAACCACATTCCTGTGGATCTGAGGTATCAAGAGTGGAGTTGTTTCTTCTGAGTGGGGTCTAGGGACTGGGTAGAAAGGTCCCTCTGTTGGGAACGAACATTTTACGTAGGATATGTGAGTATCTATTCTAAAACAATAAAAAATAACTTATGGGAAGGGGCAACAGTGTGCAGACAATGTACATTTTATTCTTTTAGTGATTAAGTTACACTAAATACATGGTGAAGTTCATGCGCTGAGAACAAACACTAGAAACAGTGAAAAGAGCTCTAGAGCATACGTGAAACTTCTGAGAAAGATGAAAGTCAGAGCTTGAGGACAGAGACACACATTTTGCATTAATCTCTTGGATTAATGAATTAGAATCTCAAATCTCATTGCTTTACTGGGATACTATTGCCTAATAGAGGCTCTCATGATCTTAGTGTGTACCCAGATAGAGAATAAAACACTTGTGCATGCAAGCAGGCACACATGCGTGCACGCGCACACACACTCACACTATCTTATACCTCACTCATCCTGGAAGTCAGCACACAAAGGGTATGTGTGCTTACAAACACACCCAGGTCAAAGTACAGATTGGTAGAAGGCAAGTGGCAGAGGCTCCCAACAGGGCAGATAATTACAAAGCATCAACTCACAGACTCTGAGGAGATTTTCTTCAAAAGCTCAGCCCCTGGGGTTCCAACGAGTCTTAAAATGAGCTTCAACTGATCAATATCTAATGGTGGACCATAAAGGAAAATGTTGGGACGAAATAAAAATGAAAAACAAACAATGACAAACAAAACAAAAACAAACAAACAAAACACCCCGAGAACAAAAATGAAACACCCCAAACCTAGCCAACACGGTGAATCCCTCTAGGTCAAGGTTCCCGCAGGATGATCACTTCACGTAGGACATGCTCCTCCTGTACAAAGATTCAAAATGCTACCACACACGTATCCACTTTATATTCATTTTGTGCATCTGTCAACAGCATGTATCAGTAAAGTGAGGCAACGTTAGGTGGTTCTTAGCTGCCAAAGATAGCAGGTGAAAACACAAGAGCTTCACTCAGTTTACATTGCCCTCTTCATCTGCCATCACAGTGTCAGTAATCAGTCCAGGAAAGAGCACTGGTAATTAGAGGGCCACAGATAAGGAAAAAAGCAACAGAGCACAGGAGCTAGGGATGTACAAGTCTATTTATGAATATTCTCCTAAACGTGACCTAAAGAGCTTATGATATGACAGTGGAAGGCCTGTGAGACCCCAAAACCTGACCACTGGAGCACACCCTCTGGGAAGCCTCGCCTCTCCCACTGGCTACAGTAGGCAGAGCACGATGAGGGAGAGTCGCCAGCAGAGGGCGCTCTCCCACTGCATGTTCCCTCAGGAGCGCCAGGAGAACACAAACACAGGCAGTTTCAACCTTATAAAATGCAAATGAACAATGCTTAACAAATTCCACACATCCCAAAGGCTCTAAATAATAGGCCACAATGCTAAAACTTTTAT